TACTGCTGCTCTGTCTCATCGGGGTTCTGGTGCTGGCGGTGGTGCTGGGAGTCTACCTGTCCAACGACACCGCCAATGAACATGTGAACCGCATGCCAGCTGCAGATCTGACCAAAGACAGGGTAAGAGAGTAATGCCTGATAAATAAACACAGGCTCTAAAAGGTGTCTATTGTGGGACTAGTTTGGTCCCCAAAGTGTCACTTAAAATATAATTACCCCAACCAGATGGTGGTGCATTGTCTGGACTTTGTTCTCACAGTAACCAGATATAAGACTCATAATTATAGTCTCACTATATCAACAGTACAGACTTGTTCTGTTCTGCAACACCCCCCCCCCCCCCACAGTACTGTTTATTTACCCTTAATATTGGACATATTAATAGGCCAGAGTGACTGATCAAGTCTAGTGCTGAAACTAATAGTGGATTATTCAGCAACTATTTTGATAATATATTAATCATCTGTGTTTTTTCCACATAAAAAGCCAAAATTCTTATTAAATATTCTTAAAATTACATTTAGCTTATCTTACCTTCTCCCTTATTTAAAAAAAGTCGATCCTCTATGAGTATGCAGATATTATCAAAGGTGACAAGATGTACTTCACTGAAAAGTCTATTCTCAGTGCATGTGCAAAATTTCCACATCACTCTAGTGTAAGTTGCCTTTCCGACTGCGATTGGCTTCAAAACAAGTTTTGATGTCACAGTGCTTGTATTGTATAAAAGTCAGATTTGAGAGAAACTTTCCCCCTTCAGCAGATGAATGTGGAAACAGCCTTCTGGTGTTGAACTCAATCACTACACCCTGCACGGTGAAGCGCAAACATCCAAGTGAAGCAACAAAAAAACTAAACACATTTTTGAGTGGAGGGGGAAGTGTTGAGTCTGATACCATCATCTTGGGCATTAGGCAACTGGGGTGTGCATTTTTGACTATTTTCTATCATTTTATGGAGCAAATGTTTAATTGACAAATCGAGAAAGTAATGGGCACCTTTTATCGACAACAAAAATAATTGTTAGTTTCCTTGTGTTTGATGTAGTTCATCTGTCCCTTCACTGTTATCCCATACTTTTTCATTCTGTCCCAAATCACAAATTTGCTTCTAAGGTCTTCAAAATCTTTTACGACATGTGACACCCTCTGGCTTTAGATCCCCAATACAGATAAAACAAATGGACACATACAAAATAATGAAGAGCTACAGATCCCTCCTTTGGCATGGACAGACATGCAAGAGATGCCGTATATACAGAAAATAGTGGACATAAATGACAATTATAATGTGGAGAAACAGATTGACAGTGTTGGGTGAATAAAGGGCAAACCCATATATGAAGAACGTGGATCAGAGAAGATGTCAAGCAACTTCTAGGTTCCACAAAAGCTCCTCTGTACGACCTGGAAAGAGGACAGATTCTGATTCATTAATCTTGGTGTTGTTGTTACACTTTGCTGTTTAACTCTTTGTTCACAGAGTGTGTTGTTTTTCTTTCTTTACCTGATCCCGCATTTGCTTTTTAATCCTATCTCCCATCCATCCAGTTGTCCCACAAACCCAGCAAGTGCTCTCCAGCTCAAATCCGCCGTCTGGCCTCTCAGGTGGACAGTACTCGCCTGTGGGAGACTCACCTGAGGCCGATCCTGATAGAGAGGCTCCCAGGCACACAAGGCAGCCTGGCTGTGCAGCAGGTGCGTGGAAAGACTGATAGTTTCCTTCTCCTTTACTCTCAACATTTTCCTCACTCATGTTTAATCCACCCTCTCGGCTCCGCTTCAGCACATCACCTCCACTCTGTCTTCGCTCTCTGCTGGCTGGGCCATAGACTTGGACTCCTTCCAGTCTTCGACCCCCCGTGGCCAGGTCACATTCACCAACATTGTTGCCACTCTGGACCCCTCGGCCCCTCGCAGGCTGCTTCTGGCCTGCCACTATGACTCCAAGGCTCTGCCTCCAGACCCCCGGGCCCCTGAGAAGGTGTTTCTTGGGGCCAGTGACTCCGCAGCGCCCTGTGCTATGATCCTGGAGCTTGCCACCTCTCTGGACGCCCAGCTTAGATCATTCAAACAGCAGGTGTGTTTTGTTTGTCAGTACACGAATTGATGTCGTTTGCTGTGGTTGCACTTAAGGCATAGACAGCAGTTGGAGTAGATGCTGACAGATTAGTTTAATACTTTCCTATGAGAAAGAGAACAAGCTTGAGATGCTGAGAAGAGTAATTTCTTTCTTCTTTTTTCTCATTTCATCCCTCTGGCTCTTTGCCTGCAGTATAAAGTAGAAAATGCTGACTCTATGCCCCTTGTTTGCTCTGCAGCATCCATCTGTACATAGCAGCATCTCTCCAGAGGCTGTGATTTATGCAGCCACAATAGGAATAAACACTGCGACATCACTGCAGGAAGACAAACTGGCCTCCGTTGCTGCCTTTTGTAAAGTGCGTAATTAAATTTGTCTCTCCTCCTAGAAACTTCCAGTGTCCCTCCAGCTGGTGTTTTTTGACGGGGAGGAGTCATTTGAAGAATGGACCGCCACAGACTCACTGTACGGTTCCCGTCACCTGGCCGAGCGCATGGCCAACACACCTCACCCCGCAGGCTCCTCACACACCACCATGCTGCAGGCTGTGGTGAGGAAATTGGGTTTTGCTTTGTGCATATATACACGGCATCGCATCCCGATCCAGACACACTCTAAATTATGCATGACCAGGCTGAATATAGCAGACGGCCTACACACAGCCCGTTGTAAACTTAACAAAAGCAGCAGGTCTGTCAGGCCTTTATCCAACTACTGCCCTCTCTATTTTGACTTTGAATTTTCCCTCCAGGACCTTTTTGTGCTGCTAGACCTACTCGGCGCTCCTGATCCACTGATTGCGAATCACTTTGATAACACGGCGCGCTGGTTTGACCGTCTGATTTCTGCAGGTGAGCCCTGGATGTTCCCTTTTTCATGCATATTTAAAATCCCTATCTTGTTGTGTGCACTAACTCTGCCCTCACCCCTCGCTCTCAGAGAAGAGACTCCACCGACAGGGTCTTCTGATGTCTCACCCCTCAGAGCAGACATATTTTAGGAAGGATGTGTACCTTGGACCTGTACAGGACGACCACATCCCCTTCCTTCACAAAGGTGAGTGATCAGTGCAGGAGATACTATGAGTTCCTCCTGTGCAACTTAAGGAGGATTTGTCCCTTTCTTACTGGGGTACAGTTGTAAAATAAACTCCCCACTGATGTCAGGACAGGAGAGTGACTGCCCGTCTTCCACTACAAGCTGAAAACCCACTGTTTGAAACTAAAGTAAGCTCAAATAGAACTTTAGTAATCCTGAAGGAAATTCTTGTGCCAAAGATTGCTCAAAAATACAACAACACAAGAATAAAAACAACTGAGTAATAAAATGTAATATGCACAAGAAGTAAACGCCAACCCCAGTGCCTAATAGAAAAACAATAAAAGTGAGATACATTTTGTAAATAAAAAGTAAGCCACTACTTAACATGTCTTATTTCATCAAAATAAACCTTTAAGCACATGTACATCTGTATATAAAAGGTGTATACAGTGTACATTTAACTCTTATTCTTATTTTTCTATATATATATGTATTATATTTTTCTATTATATTTTAACCTATTCTAATGTATTTGTTGTGTTGTATCTGGAACTGCTGTAACAAGTGAATTTCCCCAGCGTGGGATCAATAAAGTCTATCTTATCTTATCTTATGTACTGTAGTAGTCAACATGTTGTTTGTTGTTTGGAAGCGATGCACAATTTTTGAAGATTGTTGATCTACATTAACACAATGCTGTCAGTGATCATCATTATCTTCCTCTTTCCTCTCCCTCCCCCCTACACACATACAGGTGTCCCCGTGCTGCATGTCATTGCCACTCCCTTCCCACAGGTCTGGCACACGCTGGACGACACAGAGGAGAACATGCACCGCCCCACTGTGGTGAACCTGACCAAGATCATGGCTGTGTTCTTGGCAGAATACCTGGGCTTCTGAACACCAAACAGAGAGATATTTGTTGTGAAAGTCCAAGCAGCTGTCACATGAAGACCCCATACTGGAGTGCCACTGCTGTTTGTTACACTGATGACACATACTCGCTAAATGACCATGAACCAAATGCACAAGAGAAGAACCTGTTGAAATGAACTGAACTGTACTGTTACCAGTGTATGGAGATACCAGCTAAAACTTTACCAAAGACACAAGAGGGATGACCCCTGTCCAAATGTGTAGGCATGTGATGTGGACGGAAAGCGTCTTAAAATATTAAAAGTTCTGGTACCGGAGAAAGTTGTGAAAGTCTGTGAATTTGATCCTGTGAAAAAAAAAAATTTCATATGTAGCATTTATTTACCCCATTAATATGATTGAGATGCACTGAGACAGACTTAATAACCAGCTGAGCTCTCTGAGTTGCTGTGAACATACAGTGATAATGGTGAACGACAGCCAGGCTGTGAATAATCCTATTGACTTAATTTGGGTGAGGATCTTGGCCTTATGACCTGCTACCAAGTTTTATCTATATCTATGTGACTCTACTGCACATTATGTGTCAGTCTGATTATGTTATTAGAGTGAAAATCCAACAAATGTTATTTTATACCATGTAAAAGGTATAATACAGCGTCTGGAATAAAGTTAAAATTCATTTTCCCTAGAATTTGATGCAATTTCATGAACTCAAAAATGCAGTTAGATGCAATATATGTGGTAACATTTTACAAGCATAATCCTGTTTATCATCCCTTTAACAAGTGGATGAACCTGACTGTTGTAAATGTTTTAATACCATGTGGGAATATTGTATTTAAGGATGAGTGAGAGACCCTCCAAAGTGTGGACATCACCCCAGGACATTTGTGAACTGGTATGTTGAATTTAATAGGGGGCCTATAATGCTTGTATGGTGTTCTGAATATATTTAAGCTCTCTGGTTTAAGTCCCCTGGTAATATCTGCATAGTCATTTTTCGTAAAGTATTTGTTTTATTGACAACAGAAAATACAGAGTACAATACAAAGAGTAAGTAAATAGTTCATATAATTAAAAAAGCAACCATGTAGCAGAAGAAACAAATTAAACATTTGAAGACTCAAATGAAGCATCCAGACATGTGACAGAGAGGAGGTGGTGGATGAGAGAGCGGTGGAGGGCAGTGGTACTGGGGATGTGGGCTGCCTGGCGGTGAAACGTCATTGTCAGAAGAAGGGTATGTGTTTTGTGAGGTTCCTCCAGAGTAAGCGGTGTGGAAACTGAATGAAGAGATGAGGAGCATCATAAAAATGCGGCGAGTATCATGTCCAACATCAGTGTAGTATCATGTGTTAATTTAACCACAAGGGGGTGATGTTGTTGTACAATTAATAACTGACAAATTTTGTGTGCAACACAAAGTTAAAGATTTGAGAGATGGAATGTTAGAATTAGTTATTATAAGTTTACTACAATGGTTATTTCTGTATTAATATTAGTATTTCCATTGGGTCACCGGAAAGTGAAGAGAAGTTATCCGTAGACAAACCAAACGTTTGCTTGATTGTAACGTCTGATTATCAGGTCTGATTCAGCCGTCATATTACTCCGCGGTCAACAAAACCGTTGGGGTTTTATCGTTTTTTTTTATCCGTTTAATATAAGCTTCATGCATTGTATCAAAATCTGTCACTCTTTGAATTACTCTTTCTTTTTATATGAAGATGAATTTATAAATTATGAACTATAATTAAGACATTTTGTTTATGGTGTGAGACTCAACGGTTACTTTTAGATTGGTCCCCGTGTATCCATCCGCTTCCTAACTTCACTAGCTTGTAAATTACTTTACCCTGTCAAAATGTTTGTATAATAACTTGCTGTTGGTACGTAGGAGACAAGTAAATCATTAAAATGAGACAATTCCCCAGAGAGCGACCTGCTGCATCACTGACCCGGTAGCGTCCGTGCTTCGGTCCCTCTGCCTGCGGTTCTTGAACCAGTTGCTGACCTGTGTTGTTGTCAGGCCGGTGGCTGCCGCGAGCTCCCGCTTCTCCCGGGTAGACGGATAAGGTTTAAGGTGGTAACACTCCCGGAGTATGCTCCGCGATTTTTCCTGTTAGAAAGTTGAATAAATAACGTCAAATCTGAGCGTTGTTAAAACACAAATACATACCAAGAAATAGCTCTACAAATACCAGTGTAATCGAGTGCAGCTGCATTTGAAGTTTAGCCAAAGGAGTTTTAGCCAATGTATCACTAAAACTGAAATATCTTTGTACATAGGCCTATGTAAATAGGTGTTGCCATTTAACATTTATTGAAGATGAATTGTTCTTTTGTAATGGTGGCCAAAGCCCTTAAAGCAAATGTGATTCACTTTTGACAGTTTCTACCATTATAACTTTCCCAATGGTGGAAAAAGTAGTCCTATCAGATGCTTACATAAAGTAAAAATAATAACAGTGTGATAATATTCCATTTGAAGTAAATGTCCTGCATTTAAAACTTTACCAAAGTGAAATTACAAAATTACTACCAGCAAAATATACTTTAATTATCAGTAGTAAGTAGTTACCAAATGGCTCCTTTTAAGATCATTTTATTTATGTATTTATTTATTATTCATGTAGGTCTACTTGTATCATAAGTATGGTTGGTGTGGAGCACAGTTTACCTACTTTATATAGGCCTACTTTTGAGTGTGTTAGTCTATAACAATCATATTTTAGAGGAGGAATCTGAAAAGTAATGGAAAATGCATAGCCTAATTATAGATGTTAGAATATTATAGTAGAGTAAAAAGTGCAATATGATCCCTTGAAATGTGGTGGAGTGGAAGTATAAGATACTCAAGTATAATACAAGCAGTGTAAAACTGTACTTTAAGTATAGTACTTAAGTAAACATACTAACCTCTGGCCTTTCCATTGTGCCTGTCTGTTGGTGATACACAATCTCCTTCACTGATAGTTTCACAGCTAATCAAAATTCACAAGTCCCAATAAAAAATAACAATAAAATACCAGAAAGCTAAATAACAGTTGGGGAGCACATTTAGGATAAGATTATACCTTGAAACAGTAGCTGGTCTCCTCTCCATCCCAGATGGTGTGTGGTAGAGGGAACTTTCTCCTTATGCGATACTTCCCCACAGCTCCCAGGGGTCGGCCCCTCTGCCCCTCGGCCTCTATGTAGTGGGCTCGGAGCCAGAGCTGCTGCAGGAGCGGGTGGCTTCTTGGGGAGAAGGGGAATCCCTCCAGCAGGGAGTAGAGGTCTATGAAGCGACCCTGGTGAAAGGCCACTGCGGCTTTAGCCTTCAGCACACTCTCTAGCTCCCCGGGGCAACGAGAGGTGGAGGAGGAGATGGCAGGAGGAGGAGGAAGAGTGCGGAGGAAGCCAGCAAGTCGATCCATGTAACCGCTCTGCAGAAGGACCTCGCACACACAAGCCACCTGCTCTGCTGTGAAGATCATTGCTGTGTAAACAGGATGGTGATCCCTAAAAAAGTAGTGAGATGTAAGTTGAACCAAAGATATCTTCTAAACAACCTCTCTTAAGTTTGTACGGGAGAGAGCTGAAGCCTCTGTGGAGCACTGAGACAGAACGTGCATGTTTATCATTACTCATCATGCCCCGGCAGAATCAAATCACAGGTAACCTGAGACCATCAGGGTTATAACAACACACCAGGCATCCTCTTCTTCTTGTACAAACACTTGCATGCAAACCCTCACACACATTTTGGAGCTTTGCTTTTGTATTGGCATTCACCCAGAGAGAGAGAGAGAGAGAGAGAGAGAGAGAGAGAGAGAGAGAGAGAGAGAGAGAGAGAGAGAGAGAGAGAGAGAGAGAGAGAGAGAGAGAGAGAGAGAGAGAGAGAGAGAGAGAGAGAGAGAGAGAGAGAGAGAGAGAGAGAGAGAGAGAGAGAGAGAGAGAGAGAGAGAGAGTGGGATGGTTTTGTCGTGCAGAAAGAAAAAGCATTTGAATAAAATTTTCTTGCCAAATTGGAAGCAAAAATCCACTGGCATATAGTCTGACTGCTAACAAACACAGATGATTTTTTGTAAATGTAGTTTATTACAATATTATGTAATATAAAAAATAGAATGCATTTGAATACAAAAATGAGAAAACAAAAACTTTTGAATGACAAACAAATGATCCCTTTCAAAACTATCAAAACGTCTATCAAAATACATTATCTTTGGTTAAATCTGGAGTCATATACGTCATGAGTCAGGTATGAAAGAGTAAAAACAATTCTTAGGCTACAAACAAACAAGGGTACAAATGTGCGTAAGCCCACAGGGGCTTTAATGTCTACATACTTTGGTAAGAAATGGCTCATATAAACAACACAGACTACCATATTTTACATATAGGCACATTTCCCTTTACCCATAACAATTTAAATGTTCAGTAAAATTCAAACTTTTGATTGATTTGTCAATGCCATTTACTAATCTACCCAAAGGCCACTGGGAACATGTGACCTTAAATGTATTAATGAGGAGTGACCTATTGTACATATCACAAAATGACACAAACCTATTTGCCATAAAAAACTGATTTAATACCTGTGGTCTAAGATTGTAAAACCTCAGTTTGCACAACAATATGACCTTCCAAGTGAAAATGAATATCATTTCCTATCTGCATTTTTCCATAAGGACTCATTTTCTCTCAGTTAAAACTAGAAACCGATTGATACATGCTTTAAATACATTAAATGTACAAAAAGACAAACAACAAACACTAATAAAAACAAAACACAAAGGCCATTATTGTAGCTAAATGCGACACTGAAGTGTATTTTTGTGTACCATAATTGGCCAAAGTTTGACCGCTCCCTGTTATTAGAGCAGACGGTGATTCTTAGGTTTAAATTGAATGAGCTGTTCCTTCAATTTACGACAGATTTTAACAGGAAATCAGTATCCTGTTTTCTGATTTACCTGTTTTAGCTATTCTGTCAAGTTTGATTATTAGAGTCAGAAATTTCAGAACAGAATATGAGTCCCACCCCTGTCATAACAACACGGCAGCGCAGCGTAAACATTGTGTGAATGAAATGGTGCAAAATATACAAAAAAAAATAAAAAGAAGAGGAGATCGAGCTGTGACTATGCAATCCAAACTGTCACATTATGTTTCAATGGAGAACAGATCCAGAAATTCGGGTATTATAGCAAAAGTCCATAAAATGAATCCAAAATGTGGTTGGATACATAGCAATTGTACAAACTGTGAACATTTTTTTCTAAAACATCGAACATGTAAGCTTTAAAATAAGGCACTTATCACAGCAAACTTTTTAGTGTCGCGCTTCATTTAAAAGCTGGTTTTCTAAAAGCTTTTTCTCATCTCCCAAGTGTACTGGCTTTTCAACTCAGCCATTGTGCCACATAGTGTCCTAAACTAAACACAAACTTAACATGCATTGCATAGAATTTAAACCCTTTTATTCCTTGTGTTATATTTTTTACTAATGGAGGGCAGCATTTTCTCTTGAAACTGTAAGTAATTTAAAACAGTTTACTGATAAAATGCAACCCAGACTTTAGTAAATTGTTGCAATAAAATATCGTTTGATAGCCCTTGAAGCTATGATGTAATAATAGTTGAGGAAAACAAATTCCAAACAGTTTCACATAAAACTAAACCTCACCATATTCCTGGAGTTTGTAGAAGAATTATATTGAGGCTGTGAACAAGAAGAAGAAAACCAACATCCTGAATCTTGGTGTTCTGGACAGGCAGCTATTTCTAGATGTCTTTGCCAGATAGTCTGGTGTATAGTTACTGTGCTGGATCCACAACAGACTACTTCTCTTGCCAGCAAAAAGAACCCAGACATCTTTTCCATGTACAGTTAAACTTGGTCTGCAGTGCACAAAACTGCAAAGAAGAGCTAAGGGAATAGGCAAAGCCAAGACGTCTTGCATAATATAGTCTTTCTTTTTGAACACCAGAACTTGTAAGTAGGCCAAGCAGACTAATCTGTGTTAGTTCTTCTGTCTGGATCTGATAAAACAGGTAAGGCACGTACGGATTTTAGCAAAAAATACAAAAAACAAACTCTGAAACACATAATTCTTAGGCGAAACCCAGAGAAAATTTGTGATGTCGAACCAGCAGAGGTGAACATCACATATAATCCTGCCCACCCATGTGAAATAGAGCTGCAAAAAGTGCCAGCTAAGACCATGATGTCCTAAACATATTGTGAAATACATTTGGGTCTTGACAACATGGAAAACTTTTAGATCACTAAAAAACAAACAAACAGCAGAGTCTGTAACCTACTGTATGCTTCATCGCTTTTGTTTTTAGAGACATGGGGTTGCCAACCAGCAACGTAAACAGACTATATGCCCAGCTCGTCCTCCACAGGGACAGACTGGAGCTGAGTCAGAATCTTGGAGTCCCCATCCATCTCCTCTGGATTCCCCAGTGCTGAGTTGGCTTCCACGTCCTGTTCTGATGAGGGGCTCCCCAGAAGCAGCGACTCTCCTCCAGGTAGGCCTAACAAAGCTGGGTCGACGGGTAGGTCCCCCTTGCTGCGGACATCAAACAGAGTTAGACTAGCCGAAGTGGAGAGGGGCACAGGGCTCCAGGCTGGGTGGGACAAATGGGAGCTGGGTGTCACTCCGCTGTACATGGGGCTGAGGGTAAGCATACTTTCTGGAGTAAGAGTGTTTGGCGTTGTGGGGGTGACTGAATGGTCCAGCGAATGAGGTGAGGGGACAGCAGGTGTCCCAGTCTCTGGTGCACAGTATGGTGGAGACGAGTTGATGAAGCTTAGGGGAGATGATGTGTGGCCAATGGGGGTTGGGCCGGAGTTGGTTAAAGGCTGCGAGGCTACAAGAGTGGTGGAGGGGGTGAGGAGGGGACTCACTCCATTAGCAGAGATGGGTGAAGCCTCGTGGACTGGTTTCATGGGCAAACTGGTGAGTTGAATGCCTGCTGGGATGGTCAGAATCAGCTTGCCTTGCTGGACACTCAGGTAGGGGCTTCCACCGAGGAGAAGGTTACCTACAGCGGTGATAAATGATAAATTGACAACAATCAAGACTGTGTGACAACGTTCAAACAAGAGGCACACCAGTTTGAGATGTAGCACCATTACCAGCACCACTACAGCTCTGTACTGCTCATACGTTGAGGCAGCAAGTTAATTACAGTCCAGTACTTCCAATGATGTGTTTTACACAATAAACATTTGCTGTAAGGAAAAAATGTCAATGCTTTGTCGATTCCTGTTCTTTCCCTTAACTTTCTACAGTTACAGATGCTCTTTTGTTTTGTGTCAGAACATGTTTTCAGTTTTTTGAGGCGTTGTTTCTTGGGTGTGCTTAATGAATACTTAATGAATAAAACAGCCTACAGTATTGATAAACATATCTGACGAACAGTCATGAAAATATTTGAAAGCTGAAACAATAAAACATTAATTGTCAACTATTTTGATCATCAATTTATTGTTACAGTATTTTTTAAGGAAAAATGCTAAATATTGACTCTGCATCAGCTAATCCATGTAATGAAGTACTTAGACTACGTAGATTGGCTTTCAAACAAATAAACAGTTGCCATATACTGATCGTTAAGTGCATAAACAAGCTATTATGAAGTATTATTTTCATTGTCGATTTGTCTCGATTAGTCCCTTAGTCTATATAATATCAGAATATTGTGAAAAATGCCTATAATACAGTCCTTTTTTAGATGCCCAAGTATGTCTTCAAATTGTTTGTTGTATCTGAACAGTAGTTCAAATCCTAAAGATATTCGGTTGATTAAGATATATTACAAATAAAAACATAAACTCCTCACATTTGAGAGGCTAGAAGCGGTGAAAGTTTGGCCATTTTAATTGCAATTTCTTAAAAAGCTTCATCCATTATCAGAACAGTTTAATTTTCTGTCAGTTTCAGCTCTGCTTGCTATATTTGTAAATATCTAAAAAATTCAGAGTACCTGGAGCCGCAGAGGGCAGCTGTATGATCCCAGTGTTGAGGAGCTGCACACCAGGGGCCATGCTGTTTGGGGGACCCACCGTCTGAATGGGCCTCAACTGATTTATCCTGAGAGGACACTGTGCGATCCCTGCAGCTGCAGGAGCTGAAGTCAGGATCTGCAAGGGCACTCCAGCAGAGGGGATGGAGAGAGACGGACTGGCGGGCACGACTTGGGGGAAAGAGATGCTGGAAGACGTTTGGATGGAGGAGACCGGGACCAGCTGAGGCATGGAGAGGGGGACTAACTGTGCTGGTGTGGCTCCTTTGGCCTGGGGGACTGGGACTACTTGTGTCGGGGAAGAGATGGAAATAACCTGTGGGACCTGGATATTGCTGGCCGTGGAGTTTGTAGTTTGGTCCCCCAGTTGGTGTGCCGTTCGCTGTGGGAACTGATGGTTGTTAAGCTGGGAGATGGAGACTATGGTTGTGGCACCTTCAGGCAGAGTTGTTGAGGCATCTTGCTGGTGCTGTGCCAGTCTGTTGCCTGTGTTCACGGTCTGGCTTTGGAACAGAGGAGCTGGCGAGGTGAGGGGGGATACTGGGACCAACTGAGGGCACTGGGACACCTGGGCTCCTGAAGAGTGCTGGACCAGCTGGGATACTGGGATACCCTGGATGGAAGGCACAACCTGGGGCAGAGAAAAGACCTGAGGCGTGGAGGAAACCACAGGGCTACAAGGGTTTAACTGGGAGCCGGCAGTGGCAAAGACAACATACTCTCCTTGCTGACTGGAAAGAGACACGGCAGAACTGGTGAGTACCATGCCTGCAGACGACATAGAGGGCGGGAGGGTGAGGGGCTCCTGGTGTTGGGTGTTTTGTGATAAGACTAGTGAGGGGAGACTGGTTGGGGAGGACAGAGTTGGTGAGGAAGGGGATAAAGATGAAGAAGAGGAAGACACGGTCTGGATGCTGCCCTCTGAATCAGGGACACTGATGAAATCCATTGCATTGCCGCTGTCTGTCTTGTTTTGCAGAGGAGGAGAGATGATGGGTGGAGGGTTTGAGACTGCTGTGGTGTTAGTGCTAAGAACAACTGCTGGAAGACTGCTTGGCTTGGCCTCCATGGCTGAAACTTCCTGTTCTGCCAAAGAAACTGCTTGCTGCTGGTGCAGACTAGGTTTGCTTATTACCTGAGCCCCGTTCAGTATCAAGGGAGAGTTGGTTGCAACAGGACTCAGCGTGACTGTCTGGCAATCGCCCAGGCTTAGCCCGTTAATTATGACACCAGCACCAGTACTGGAGATCAGGGAGTTTCCATTAAGAAGTAATGACTGAGAGGCGGCGAGGAAGCCGCCGGAACCGTTAAGGATGAGCTGGCCTCCTGTGCTACATGGGACAGCAGAGAGGGAGATGATGGATGCTGTGGAGCCAACAGTCTCCTCTGGTTTGTCAGGGGTGTCGTCCATGGGGCTCGCTTCGTCCTCTGTGCTGTGGTTCCCATCAGACTCACTGGAATGGGGGAAAAAAAATCAATGGGTCAATTGAACACTTGTAAACACAAGCTACTTATTATCCCCCTTTGTTATTTTCTAATCCCTTTAAACTCTTTTAGCTTGTGACAGGTGGTGGAAGAGTTTTATTTTTGCCCTGTGTTTTGCAAAGCTGTACAATAAAAATGTTTTGAGGTCAACTTTGCACAGACGGTAGCACAGCAGTATGCACTGTTAGACAGGATATGTTTGAGATTTTATATATATATATATATATATATATATATATATATATATATATATATATATATATATATATATATATATAAAAAAAACACACATACACACGTTGTTTTGCAGTAATAACCAAATACTTAATACGTAGAAAGTTTCAGCATTAACTTTACGCTCCTTAACAAATGTTTAACAGATTTTTCTATGAAAAACCTGATATTTTGTCTCACCACCACACGTACATAGCTGAAGTGTATCTCAGAAGGACATTTAAAGTTATTGTACATTTCTTTTTTTAGAAAAACAGTGATATGCAGACAAACCATATCCTCCCTAAATATTGTTTAAATGTCACTATTTATTGACTTTGTAGTATCTGTCAAAAATTGTCTTTTAGCCAAAGCTGATACATTTGCACTGTTTACAAACATGTCCTGTATCTGGTGATTAGATAAATAAATAAAGACATTTTATTAGGCTTAAAAACTGGGGAAATGCACTAAAGATAAAAAGTTTGCACATTTAAATTCAAATTAGTGATTAAAGTTTTCTTGTAGTTTGCCCACCCTGTGTGTGGAATCGCTTTCTCTGTGGTTAACTTGTGATATGCTATTATTATTAATCCTTGTCCGATCATCTGGATCAATATAAAAGCATCTGTGTGCAGACAGTAAGCTGGATCAGATTCCTAGAAACCCCTAATGAATGAATGAATCTGTTTCATGAATCCCCTTTAATGTGTGCAGCCTGGTCGACCACATCGACTGTCTGCCAGACCACCAGAAACCTTTAAGTCTGATAAGAAAAGTCTGCTGTATTCTGTCTTATCTCCTCACAATGTGCCTCCTCCCCCAGCTTGGTGACATAGTGGCTGTAAAACTCTGAGACTTCAGCCTGTGTGAAAGCAGTTTAAGTGGGCTTTTTTTCCTGTTTACTCTCCAACCTTCCCTAGTTTTAACCTCAGTCACCCTGCAGGCCCTAGGCAGCAGTGCAGGGTTTCAGGAAACTTGAGCCATTGTGGGGGCCTGGATCTCACATTTCATAACAAAGCAACATGCTCCTGGTCTCAGACCTGTGTGTGGCTTTACAGCTGTCAAAAAAAGTCTCCTCCTCTGTCCATCTTCTCACTTGATGCAATGTTTTCTGATGTTATTTTTTGTTACTTTGAAGTGTAATGTGTGATGTCCACACTCGTTCTATGCTGGCCTGTGTAGGCCTGCAGGTCTTTGTTTACCTTTGGGGTTTGGTCTGGTAGTTCTAGTGACTATTCTGAGTTATCTCTGGTGTCATAAAACAAGCCGCTCTAAAATAAACAAAGGAAAGTTCAAGATAGCTGTCGCCTAGATTGCCTATCTCCAACACTAGATAAATGCAGTAAGTTTGTTCCCAGTGTTGCTTGGTCTTGCCTTTTGCTGTGGGTCCCGGACGGGGTCCTGTCCCTCTGCCTGCGGTTCTTGAACCAGTTGCTGACCTGTGTGAGGGACAGTCCGGTGACTTTGGCCAGGTTTTTCTTCTCGTCCGGTGTAGGGTACCTGTTGCTCTTATAGCACTCTTTCAGTGCATTTCGGGACTTCTCTTTGAAGCAGTACACGGTCTCCTCTCCGTCCCAGATGGTTTTGGGCAGGGGGAACTTCTTCCTGAGCCGGTACTTGTCCACTGCGCCCAGGCTGCGGCCCCGGGACCTCTCCGCCTCCTTGTAGCGGGCTTTCAGGTACAGGTCCTGCAGGAACCCATGGTTAGACGGGTGGAAGTCGTGGCTCTCCAGGATGGCGTACAGCTCCTTGAATTCGTCCCGGTGGAAAGCCACCAGTGCCTGGGCCTTCAGTAGGATCTCGTTGCCACGTAGCAGCTCGGACGAAGGAGGTATGGTGGATAGAAATCTCCACAGGCGATCCACATTGCCCGCCTGCAGAAGGGCCTCGCAGAGACATGCTACTTGGTCAGTGGAAAAACTCAGTGCCGACTTTTGGAAACTTTGGAGTAATTGTTCCGAATCTTGCAACTGATCTTCCTCTTTTTTGGGCTCCGTTGCCTTTGGCTCCTCTGGGCTGTTCTCAGATTGTTCTGTAGACTCCAAAGACAAGGAAGCCATTTTCACTTTAACTTTTTTTTTCCTCCAGTAGTTCCTCCTCCTCCTCCCTCCCTCTACAGCGCAGCACTCTCTCCCACTCTCCGCCAGTCGACCAAACCATGAATGTGCCTGCAAGCTAGCAGCGGTCACACCCCTTTTCTGACCTAACGTACAGTCTTTGTTACTTAATGCCCTGTAGGCAAACCTTCACATGTTAGAATATTACTCATGCATACACAAAATTGTGTTTCCTTTTATATAGTGTAATCAACAGTTATTATAATTTCTGCTCCACTAGATGGCTGCTCTACCTTGTTGGCCTACCCAGGATTTAATCAGAAGTTTGTAGAGCAGCTTTCTCCTATTTGGGCACAACACAGTTACACTTACTTACAGCTTAATGATCTTGTCTCCCAGGAAGAGTTAAAAGCTCTAATAAAAAAAATGTGTAACCAAAGTAGGCAATTGCTATTCCTAAAATGTATTTTGCATTTTGTTGGCTATCTGTTGTCCTTTGTCTGTTTCAATGTGCTCCATTTTATATTATTTGTAACTCTGTAAGGATGAACATCATCTAGGACACGTCTCCCCATGAAATAGAGATTTGAATCTCAAGGGACTTCTTGGTCAAATGAAGGTGAAATACATTTAAAAATGTTCTTCTCAGTAGCACCTCAGATTTGTTTTTGGATAAAACCTGTCCCATGGCAATAATATGACATTTCTGACTAAAGTAGATGATGGAACACTTTGACATCCACAACTTAAGTACAAGTGTCAATATTTTAATGTTCATATACTCCACTACAAGTAAATGTCCTGCATTCATGATTTTACTTAAGTAAACCTACACAAGTCTTTGTAACAAAATGTACCTAAAGAAAGTAGAGCGGAACCGATTAGTCTATTAAGCTATAACCACTTAATAATTTCATGTCACTTCTCAAGCTAAAATGCCAATCTTTCCCTGGTTTCACCACTTTTTAAATGTGAGAATTTTCTGTTTATCTCATCATTATCATGATAGTAAATTGAATATCTAGTCAGTGAAATAATCTGCAGATTAATTAATTATTATTATTTATTTTTTTTAATTGCAGTCCTAAATAATAGTATTAATTAGAGTTATATCATTGTATAATTACTGATGCATTAATGTTACTACTAGGTGGCATTTTAATGTTGTAGCTGGTGGAGGTGGAGCTATAGCTACTTTATATACTGTTTAGTTTAATCTAAAACAGTACATTATATTTCTACACTGATGTGTTTTGTATGTAAAATCTTAATCTTCAAAGTCACAAGTATATACATCAGATGAATAAAATTACACTTTCCTCCACTGGTCACTGTTCAGTGGGCTCATTATGCAAGTAATCACAGTAAAGGGATGCAAACAACAATTAGCCTACTTTCATCATTGATCAATCTGCTGATTATACTCCTGATTAATGGATCTATTGTTTTTTATAGGCCTATATATTTATACATAAGAAACATTTTTTAGAAATACATCTCAGAGCTCAAGGTGACATATTAAAATTGTCAGACCACTAAGATGTTCAGCTAATTCACACGCAGAAAAACAGTAAATATTGGCACTTTGTAAGCTGGAACCAATGATTATTTTGGCATTTAAGTTAATCAATTAATTGACTAACTGTTTCAATTCGACAACAGTGCTCATATCTAAGCTCATATATACTGATGAAACCGATTTTCCGATTTGTGGCAGTAGTGACTTTGTGATAATCTTATCCTACTTTTATTTATTTTTAAAAGCACCCCTAAGGGATTCAACATGCAGCCAGACAGACATATCCGTTGTGATTAAATATTGGTTATTTTCAATGGGAAATGTCTAGATCCCTGTAAAATACATGCAACTGTTCAGAAAGTGCCATCTGACAGCTCCTGTTCATCCAATGGCATGTAAATAAGTGTTGGTGTGTCTTAAACAGTTAATTTAAACTGAGAAAATTGTCCAAATTTCATATCATGCGCTAGTGTTAATCTTACACCTGTGAAGACAGAATGTAATGTAAGGCTACATGCGTTCAGGTAAGACTTGTTGGCATCCCAGTTTTCCAACCGGCGGCTTCCCAATGCAAATACTGACAGTGCAAACACACACAATTTAGTCAACACGAACATAGCAGGAATAATTTGCATGTGTGACATGCTTTTAGTTTAGATTTTTTCAACAGATCACACTTGTTAAAAGAAGAAAACATCAATTTAGACACTTTTAGTGTGTCAATGCACGTGGCAGCATCTCTGCATTGAATATATGAAACCAAAACACTTTCTGTATATCAGGTAAAGGTCTCAGGACAAGTTCAGAAAATAAATCACTTTTGTTATTATAATAAAAAACTGAAAGCTTACATTTGTATGTAGGCCTACAGGTCTTAACCTGGACCTCAGATATTAGTAAGAAACTTTGTGTCAGACACAGAAATGAACATGTTCTTTATGATATGATAAGATCTGAGTGTGACCTGCAGATGAGGTGTGAACGAGGCCTGGCAGGCTTGCAGACTTTCACCTCCATCAACAACCATAGGAATGCAAATCTTCCTTGTGGGAATGTGGGCTTGTCTTAGCCCCCCTCTGGGGTTAGGTTGTAGCTCAGGCCACTTTCTTTGATCTTCTCTTTTTTGCCCATACATGCTGTAGTTTGTTATCTGTGCTGGAGAAATACTTTGGTTCACTGTATCATGTCCATGATTGGGCAGGGAGTTTGTTTCCTAATAGGCCTATCTAAAATGTTCTATCAATCTGCAGACATTTTTCAGGGAATTTACAAATGATCCTCACAAAATATGCTGAAATATGATTTCATATTTATAACACACAATAGCCTATAGACCTACTTTATTCTGTATATTAATGTCATGTGCAAAATAATATGTTATTGTACAGATTTACTCATCAGACTGAGTGGAAGCCTAAACTATAAAGGACCTTTGTTTGAATTGGACCCAAACATGGTGGCATTTCTTTATGGCTGAAGATCAAGCTGCCTGTCAGGTCAAACCATAGGCTCAAACGACCTGTAGAAACATGCAATACAGGTCTATATTTTCTTATTACAGAGTCGCTTAGTTCCAAAGAATAACAATAAATGGCTGGCTGAATTCATCATGTTAAAATCAAAGATCGCATTCACTCCTGTCTGATGATTGGTTTTCGATCGTGTCAATCTACTGGAGATTGGGCGGTGCGGCGGAAACTTTCACATCGTATCGTAACAGTATTGGTTGAACTTATTAGCTCCCTGGTGTGATTGGTGTTTTCTAGTCTGCGGGCTGACCGAACGTTCCAGAGCTGGGCGGAGCGGAAGTTGGTGCTATGATGTTGTGACGCAGCCACACATGATGATACAAAGACCAACCGGTAGTTTTTCACATAGTTTTTAAAACACCATCAGAGTAAACTTCGAATAATCAGTGATGGTGGAAACTAAATTAAGCACTGAATTAAATCGAAGGAATTATGTTGAAATGTGTTCTGTTATTGTTCCGTTTCGATGGTTTCTCTAAAATCGAAAATGGCGACATCTGCTGGCCAAACGGTTGTTATTGCTTTTGTATGGATGGAATCAGAGACGCCTCATGAGTTTGATGGGATACATTTGACTTTGTTTTTGTTATTGATATTTTGATCAATAAAGCTTGAGTCTTGGGCTCTGTGTTTTAAAAAATGAGCCAGATTGACAAGAACAGCGTAACGCCTCTCTCACGCGAGTGTGACGTAGAGGGGTGGGGCGTTGAGGTTGTCACGTGATTTTTGGCGTGGCGGCGAAGCAACGCATTGAAACCATTGAAACATCTTGACGCGATACATCTGCCTTGAGAAGTGGATACTGTGTTGAGTGGTCTGCTTGGAGCGTAACATCACTACAAAATATACTATTAGTAAGTAATTATGGCAAACGTACCTTCTAACCGAAGGTCCTCGGTGTAAAGACGGGACTCCGCTCTTGTTGGCCACCCAAACAAGCTAGTATGACGCAGCGCGGTGGCAAGCTAATCAAAACTACCGTTAGATAATGTAAGCTAAAACGACAAAATGTTACATTCAACTTGAATCATCATAGTTGATAAAGTTTGTAAATATAAGAGAGAGAGAGATCGTTATTTACCTAGTTAAACACAGCCATTTATTTCAATACTAGAACGTAACATCGTAACGTTAACGTTAAGTTAATAACGGTTAAAAAGAAACTAAGTTACGATTTAGGAGTGGGCATAAGTTAACGTTAGCAGGTCTTCACAGACTCTTTAATCGAAATGCTATTGAATGGAAATATCTTTTTAATTAACTTTCTATCAGATATTTACATTCAGATCTCTGCAACAGGAAATGGATTATTTGTTTGTAATTGTGAGATGGTGTATCAGTATCTGTCCCGCTAGTAAATATATCACATTGTATATTATTTTCAGCATTTGTTCCATTGGCTGTGTCCATACACTCGGCATAATGGACAGCGGAGTGATAGTAGTTACCAATCCCACTGTGAATGTGCGCCTAACAAGCACCATCTCCTCCTTCGAGGTGCAGCGCAGGTTCAATAGAGGGATTAGTATAGCAGAACTAAAGGTGAGACCCAGCTTATACACACATAAAATGCACAAATTGGCCTTCCCAGAGCTAACCTGCTCAATACACTGTACAACGAGATTATTAATTTTTAATGTCTACCTTCCTTATGTTATCAGAGACATTAAAAATCTATAACATGTCATGTATTGAAGTGCTATTTTGTTTAAATTGTTATTAGGGGAAGTTGGAGATGGTTGTGGGCGCAACTGCCTCCTGCATGGACCTGGAGTTGTTCAGTGTCGCTGACAAGTTCCTGCAGAAAATGGATGACAATGAAGCTTTGCTGGGTTCCTATCCTGTAGATGATGATTGCAGAATACATGTATGTATCTACTCGGTTTGGAAGCACTTTTAATATAGTGGCCCAGACCACTGACCTATTGTAGTAAAATATGGGTAGCAGCAGGTTTTCAGATCAGTATTTGTCTCCAAATCCAAATCTGTCTTTCTGCAGGCATAAACAAATTTGCTTCAGATAAGAAAGCATGTGTTTGAAACAAATTGTGTGAAAATATGTTTCTTCAAACATGTGCCTGGAAATGATCCTTTTCACCTTTGTACAACTCCAAAAAATCTGCTCACTGCCATAATTACCTTGTTTGTTTCAAGTGACTTGCAGTGTTTAGCTAAAACATTCATAACTACTGGTGCGGTCTGTCTTTAAAAAGTGTCTGTGTCTCATCCTGAATCACAGGTTATTGACAGAAGTGGAGGTCAGATGGGCGAGTTCACTGATGTTTCCAAAGTGGAGAAGTTTGAACTCGCAGATGATGCTTATGAGAAGAGAACAGGTATGGTCTGACATCCTTATCTTCCCTCCAATTTGTTATTCTCATAGCATAAAATTTGTTTTCTGTAATTACAATATAGAAGTTTTTGCTGTATTTAATAGTCGATAAATTAGTCAGGCAGCAGATCCAAACCAAAATTGGTAAAGCAATCGATAATGAAAATTGATTGTTTGTTACATGCATAGACAGACAATACCAATCCCTCCATCATACAACGCCTGAGCTTTTATTATTTAGAAAGATTTATTTTTCTGTTAAGCATTGACAAAACTTGTAAAGAAGTTATCCAATGTTTTTTGAAGATGTTCTGCAGCATCCACTGTCTGTTCTGAAGTGTAATGTGTTAAGTAAAATCCATCTTTCTTTCCTTCAGATACAGCAAGGTCATTCATGAAGAAACATCGTGTCGGTCAATACAATGAGGAAGAAACAGCCAAGAAGAAAGCTGAGCTTGCTGCTCTTGAGGAAGAACAGAAGGCTGCAGCTGAAGCCATTGCTGTTGGCAGCCGATGCAAAGTGCAGGTCACTGGGCAACCCACAAAGCTTGGCACGGTCATGTATGTTGGTAAGTGTGGATAAAGCTTTGCTTTCTTCAGGACACTGGTTTGAATCCTGTACGTAGGATTTTCTCTCAAACAGAGTGGTCTTTGTTGTAATCTATGGCGACCAGTCTAGGCAAGCAATGTAGGAGGAATTTTTTGCTCCGCTAGTTTTAGGAGACCAAAATCCACATAAATAAATTGGTTTAATAAGCATCCTCAAGTTTCATTTTAAGTCAGTTTTGCTTTAGTTCTGAGCCAAGACACTTTTTAATGTGTTTGTGTCTGCCATTACCCAAATGAATAGCATTTTAATCTCTGATCTTACATAGAACACACAACAGAGGTCATTGTCAGTTTTCAGAATTATGGATCATGACTAAGCAAACAGTAAAAGTAGAGTACCTTGTGTAAATAACATGGTTGTTCCGTGCGTTACAGGTACAACAGATTTCAAGCCAGGCATTTTTGTGGGTGTGAAGTATGATGAGCCCCTGGGAAAGCACAATGGAACGTAAGAGCACTATTGTTACTTTTTTAGCTATGCACAATGTTTATCACATTGGTCTTGATTTTGCATTTGACCCTGTCTTTTTTTTTTAATTGTGTCTCCACAGTGTTGAAGGGAAGAAATACTTTGAATGTGAGAACAAATATGGAGGATTTGTGAAGCCCCTGAGTGTGACCGTGGGAGACTTTCCCGAGGAGGATTACGGTTTAGATGAGATGTAGGACTTTAATAAAACAATGGGGTAGAGTGTTTTCTGCCCTGAAATTTGACCTCAAACAGTTATCCAGTCACCATCCAGAGATGACGAAACCATTGTCATTGTAACAAATTAAATTTTTGTTTTTGTTTTGCTTTTCTGGAAGGCATGATCCAAAGAGCAGGGTCTAAAGGTCTTTTAGGTTAAAGTTCTCTTTGGCCAATGCAACCCGAAAGAGATGAACATTAAGTTATACATCTCTTTGTGTGCTGGATATGATAATAATTATACAGGATAATCGCAAGAGGAGTTCACACCAGCTAGGGTTGATAATGGAGAGGGGTTTTTGTTGCATTACACTTCACACACTATGTTGTCAGACACTTAGAGAATAACAGTCTGAGCCTGTCAATGGCTAAAAACAGCACTTTTAGTGGATGTCCTGTTGACGGGTGCACTTGCCCACAAGGATTTTGTTGCAGCCATTGCAGTTCATTTAGCTGCTACTGACTGAGGCAATGTATTGGACCCATTCCAAACTTGTTGTACCTTTTTTAGTCATTTAGACCACAAAATATGTAAAAATTGGGCCATGGTTTAACAATATGGGAATTACCCTTTATCTGTAGTCATACAATTTTGGAATACTGTAAATTGCTGAGAGTTGCCCAAGGATTGGATAACTGTCTGTGGAAGAAAAAAATCCCCCCTTAAACTGACTCTGACACAAATAAAAAGTGGCGTTGTACCTTGTAGTCCAGACTAACTTGATTTCACATATGTATCCATAATTAAGATAAACTGGGAAATGTTTTTCAGTCATTGATTAAAATCAGTGCTTAATGGTCAAACTCATTCCCCCATATTCCACTCATGATTGACAAACAAGACATTCACAGTTGAAGAGGAGAGAACAATTTATTCCCACTGACAGCAGCCTCAATAGTCCAAAGTGCAACACAGCTGATAGTTGTATTTTGAGTTTGCGGCACGACCCTCATCTTTTTGAGCGAAAAGGGTTGTTCCTGTTTGTTACACTTGTCTAAGTAAGTGTACAATGCCTGGAATAAGAGTGTAAAAGTATGCAAACTTTAAATTTAATTTTGTGTTTGTATGTAGCTTTGTAAAACAGTCCCATTTTTAGGCTTCCAGGTGGCTCTAAAATATAATTCCCCCTTTATTTTTTCTGTGACTGAATTCTTATTAAAAATATTAAATTGTCTGCACTTCAATGTGTCCTGCTTAAATTAAACCACTGTTGTAAAAAAACATGTTTCACGTTTAAAATTTGAAATGGTAAGGCTTGATTTTACTATTTTTAAATTGAAATGTTATCAATCTAATCAGATCAATCTGCTTACTTTAAACGGAGTGCTTCTGAATGCAAATGGATGATTAAATCCAAGAATAAATCATGTAATCATGGACAGTGCATACTGGAAAACGGCCAGTGAACAGCGGCAGAGAATTCAACCTGAACAGATTTTAAATTGTTAAATTCGATTTCAGGTCGTACCTAATAGGCAATTTTATTGCATGTTTTTTTATTCTTGCACTTCCAAATAGGTATGGCACATTGAATTTCATACGGTTGAAGTACAATCTAATTTTTAACCCTTTCTGCACATGTAGAACTTTGATCCTATAGTAGAAACTGTTGAGTAATATGTCATTTAGTGGAGATGTTAAATTCTGAAACATATCTGTTTATGTTTCCCATCTGCACATTGCACAATGTACCATTAGATGTACATTCTTGATTAGACACCATTGATACCTGGTTGGCCATTTAAGTAGGAATAGTAAAGACAGTAAACATTTAATATTTGTGTCTACATGGTATAGTTCATCATCTTGTGTTCAGTCTCTGAATCATCAACACTGAACACACCAGTCACTTTCCAGTTAACTGCCTTTCTCCATTATATTTACCACAGCACTCATGAAAATGTGCATTTCAAATGAATGATATGCCTTATTTATGCTTTGTTTTATCTTACCGGTCCAAAACTGTTAATGTGTTATTTTGTTCATCCTCTAAAGTTTACAAAAGAAATGTAAAGTAATTATTTTTGTGGTTTCTTTTCAATGAAATGTTACCACATCTACAAGAATGTCGTGGTGTTCTCTTTTCCTTTATTTTTTTTTAAATTGCTCTGTTAATCTCTGGTGCTGGTGTGCCAAAGGGTAATACTGCATGGAAATAAAAAATTATTTGCCTGTACAGGAGCTTATCAGATTGAGTTGATTTGTCTGTACATGTAACATATCATGGGCTGTTTACTCTAAACTCTGTATTACACTTAATATTCACTCCAAAATATATGTTTGTGTATGCAATAGTCATTCTGTTTTTTTTCTCCAGTTTTAAAACAGCTGCGTCTATCTACTCTGCATATAGGCCTACATTGATTGTCCATCCTAGTAGAGGGATCCCTCAGCTGTCTGGGGTTTCTCCCTTTTTTTCCTTATCTGAATTAGGGGTCTAAGGGTAGAGGGTGTAGAGCCCCCTGAGGAAAACTTGTATTTTTGGACTATATTAATAAAACTTACTTCATTTGACCTCAGCGATGGGAATACTGGCTCTTTTTAGTGAGCCGGATCATTTGGCTTAACTCAGCAAAAACAGCCGGCTCTTCATTTAGTACTATTATAATTTAGCCATATTTTGCATACGTTTTGACCTATAATTGGTTTGTGTGCACATAGGCTGCACTATATCACTTAAATTATTCAATGTAAATATACTACACCTTAGAATTTTCAAAAAAACATAATTTTACATTATGTTTGATATAAAAACTTTAATGTAAAAAGATCATACCCTATTACAGGTCTGTACTGAACGTTTTATTTATGTTGAACTATCCAAAACAAACCACACGCACTCAAAAAAAAACCACAGTGCCAGATAACACAAAGAAATTGCAATGTGCAAAACAGCATCCAACAGTTTTAGTTGTATGTATTAACAGTGAAACATTGTGACATTATAACGGAGTGGCCTCTTTAACTATGTAACTCATTGTCTTTAGGGTAGATTGGTATTAATAAATACTAAGTGCCACAGCTTAGAGAGGCTGATCCTCTTAATATCTGCCCTGTTTTAGAGAAGGTTCCTTATGAACTACGATGCTGTCTCCTCTCCATCATGGATAATATTTAACTAAAAAGTATTGGATTATCTTATTATTCTGTGTTACTTTACAAAAGACATGTGACAATGAAGAAACATCATCCTGCAAATGTGTTGTCCAAGCAGCAAAACATCTTGAAGGGGGAAATCCTTAATTAAATGTGTGACTTACTCTACTTGCTTTGCTGCAGTAAGTCCTTCAAAATTATTACTGCTACTATGATTTTGGCGTCTTCATGTCCGAAAATACATGACTAGGGATGGTGTTTCATGCCGTTTCATCAGCCCTGTCACAAAAAGCAGCTTACAATATTTATCATTCTGACATGTGGGGTTTCATCACACCCCTGAAGACGCACGTCACTACAATGACGCTTGAACTGACCTCTCGCGAGACCAAGCGCAGTTTCCCAGCCAGCAGTGGTGTCGTGTGTGTGCGAGACAAGGAAAGATGGCGACGCAGGAGAGCGAAGCAACTAAAGCCACCGTGAGCAACGGCGAGGTAAAAATGAATGACAGTCTTTTTACTGTAATTACATCTTGCGCCCAGGGGAAACGGGGCCGTTTTGTTTGTTTGAGCGCGGAGTGTGGGGCCGTTAGCGTTTAAACGTGTTACCGATCGTTACACGAGCCCCAGTGACGTTGTCAGTGCCGGTTGGTTTTAAAACGACCCCCTCCTGCCGCTAACGACGTGTTGAGAAATCCTGACCGTTAACGAGCAGATGTAACGTTAACGTTGGGTAGGGAGAGCGGTGTTACTAACTGTGAAATCTCACCCATTTACAAAATGTGACAAGATTATTTGTTGGCTCGAAGTGTGTTAGTTTGAGGCAGCTGTCTGCTGCAGTGTGTCAGTTAGCTATCACAAGGCCTGAACCTGAACAACGCAGCTTGGCTTCACGAAGTTAACCAGGCCAGTCTCAAGCAGCTCACACACATCTCTTATCTGCTGTTACATCGTTTCACCTGTCTTTTATTTACAGTCAACTTTAATCCCAACGGGCAGTTTGTAAGCGTAATGACAAAGGTTTAATTATTACCTGCCATCTTGTTATTAACATTGACGTGTTAGATGAATCAGGTGTAACGTTAGCCATCGTCAAAGTTAGCTAACGTAACCCTAGAAATCCTAGAAAAAATGTTAATAAAAGCAGTTGTTGAATATAACGTTAATTAGGGCGGTATCTTGCTAAACACTAATTATTTTCAGAGTGACAAATGCATGTCACAAGTTACCAGAGGTCAAAGTGAATCATCACTCTCTCATCACTAGTCTCCCTCCCGGTCAATTTAACACACACACAACATTAATATGGTAAAACAAGCAGATTTAAAACTGTAGCAAATATCTGATATTTACTCAATTATAGACCAAGACCGTCCACCGGTAGTTTAATTCAAGTAATGATTGATCAATGAATCGGACTAGGGCTAAATTTAGTTTTGGTTTCTTTGGGTTCCTTTTAATGGTCTGTTTTCGAGTAGGCTATTGGTAGCCTTAGTTTATGCCTCACATTGAAGCCACAGAGCTATGCAAAGACAAATCCCTGACAATCTCCAAAAAACCCCAGAAGACCATTAAGTAGGATTTACCGCTGTTAAATTTTCAGATTCTTCCAAGTCTCTTACAACCATTTGTGGGAATGGACAAACGTTGTTTTCAGGGAACATGCTACTTTTTATACAGTTAGAAGCATATTTCTTGAGGATTCTGGAAATACCTCCTTTTACTTTTAACACATTAACAGGCATTTATCTTCCAGAAAATCTGATAGTTATGTTGCTCAGACAGGCCTGCTGCAGGTGAATCTGTTAAGAGACGTTTCTCTGGTATTAGTCTATTCCAGGGGAAACACTAAGTGGCCCTGCTTTTCATTTAGTCACTTTTGATTTAATGTTTTGCTGAGTAACTTTATTGGACCAGCACACATGATCAGCGTGTTTATGTTGAAAATAACAGCCATTTGAATAGTTCTTGTACTGCATGTCCTCTGAATGTGGAAAGGCCATCTTTAATGCTAACAAATAAGCATTGTAGCACAGTGTTATGACCTGGCTCAAAAGGCCACAACAAAAGGGAGACACACCATGGTAAACGGTTAACATATGTTTATTTAACGAATATAAGCCAAATTAAGTTATTTCAAATTAACATAATTAAAGTATGAGGTATGTAGTCTGTGGTTTCAGTAGTGTCTGTGCAGGATGATGGTTGCATGAATGTATGTGTGAAGGTGTTGTAGTATGCAAAAACAAAATAAATACCACAAAGCAATTGTCCAACCAAAGAAAACCAAACTAAAGGGGAAACCAGGGAGCCGGCCCGCAGGGAGGTCTGACATGTCCTGGACAGCAGCCCCCTTGCAGAATGAGAAGGCAGTCCCAAATACTCTACAGGGCAATCAGCCCAGGTGCCCAGAGTTATGCTGCGTTCCATTTACCTCGGAGGTCGGAGCTGGGAATGACGTCACACCTGAGTTGACGGCGTTCCAGTTAAGTCGGAAAAACCTTGCTCGGCCAGCTGTTTGTTTACAACTAGCCAGGTTAGCTATTGATAAGACTGTTGATTTAAAAAAACCCCGCATTGTGCGGCATTTACTCACACTAAACACTGTAGCAACGTGTCCACAGACAGCTGTTGGACAGCACTTTGTGTACGAACATTTATAGGAGTCACAAGTACACAGAAGTGCTAATAAATAGTATAAACTACAGCTTTCACAAATTGTTGATTCCTCGACAGCCATCTTGGATCACAAAGTCGGGGTAGTGCGGTTCTCCCGACTTCCCGAGTCGGAAATCCGACTTCAGGGGGCGTTCCAGTTGAAAGTTCCAACTGGGAACTCGGAAATTCCGACTTCCCATGTCAAATGGAACGCACCATTACTTCAATCAGCTCTCCCTCTACAAGAGGAGAGAGAGAGACAGGCCACACCCACTCATGACCCCACAGGGCGTCACAAGCATTTTCATCCATTAATCACACACACGCACACATTTTAGATAAAGATGCCCTTTTTAGAACCTTATTTATATACCTAACATTGCATATTAGCTTGCTTCCTCCTGTAGCAGATACTATCACCGTGTGTGGTAAACATTACCAGAGCAATAGTCACTTCTCTGTGAAGGACTGACTTGAACTTTTACCCTTCCTGTCGGGCGCACACACGCATGCATGTGCGCGCAGTGACAATCCAGTGTGAAGCATTTACTCTCTACCCCGAATCGGTGGTTACATGTTAATCCTTGATTGCAGTGTGTAAATTATTGTCTTGAGCTGGAACGGATAACCTGTTCAGTGGTTGAGCATATTGCTGATTCGTCTGTGTAATGGTTATTACGTTGATCCCCTCAGGAGACACAGATCCATGTCTTTTATAGTAGAATTTCTTCTATGGCAGCGAGGTCTTGAATTGTTAAGTTTATGATTTGTTTATGGCTTATCTCTAATCTCAACAGTGTCATTGTTCACTCATTTCCAGACCTTTTTGACACCCTAATAAATTATATGAGGGAAATGCTTTTTCTTTTTAGCCTCAAGTATTTGTTTCTAAAGGCCAATGTCTGGTCTCGCTTGTGTTGGTGACAATGGGGGAGATTAGATGTTTAGATAGCGAATGAGTCTCATGACTTGGCTTGCGCTTGTGTATTGTGTCACTTGAATAGACTGTGGCCTTGGTGGAGGGGTGGAGGGCTGCATTGCCACCCTGAACCAAACTAATGACAGATTTGACTAGTCTTTAATATGCGTGCTGGTACTTGCATGAATCTGACCGCAGATGAGGTATTTAAACTATGCTAAGGTAGGGCTGGGAAATTAAACAATAAAGATAAATTAAAGCTGCAAGCAGGCCGTAAAATTCAAAATGGCCGACTTCCTGTTGACTTTAGGGTATGAGGTTCTTGAAAATTTCGTACATGTAGGTTGAACGTGAACAAGGGGATAATCTTTTCCAATTTTCTAGGTGGCGCTAGCGAGTCATTTTGCCACGCCCATGCGCGAAACCCATAAAATACGAAATTTTTCACCAGTTCTGACATGTTTGCAAATTTTGGTGAGTTTTTGTATGTTTCAATGGAGCCTA